AGTTATTGACCTCTTGTTTAGCTGTTTCGATTCACACAAAGCAATTTAGTAAAAGTAATTTCTTTCTTTCTTCCTTTCCTTCTCTTTCTTTCTTTCTTTTTGAGAGATTTTTGCTGTAGGACATGTGCGCTCGCTGGAGACACAGAGACAAAGAGACAGAAAGCAAGAAATCACCCCCCCATGTGGGGTGGCCACACCTCAATCCCTTCTCCTCCATTCTCCTCTTGGGATTTTGGGCACGCATATGCACATGTGCCTGTTTTGAGCTGCTGGATCTGGGGCTTGAACTGTGATCGACTAGATGGGAGTCCAGCGACATAGTCATTACACCATCTGCTGGTCCGAGTGAAAGTAAATTTTAAAACAGCAATGAATTGCATACTTTATTTGGGAAAAAATTTTCCAAACAACACTTAAAAATAAGTATTCTGATGATTTGAAGTTGATAATGAGTCTTCTACTACATTGTATATGCAGAAATTGTTTCTCCAATTTGTGTTTGCTATTTTGATTTGATTTGATTCGATTTAGTTTGCTATAGGGCACGTACGCTCACCGCAGGTACAGGGATGTGGATTGAGAAATTACTCTCAAGGGGAATGGCCATGCTACAATCCCTTTTCCTCTTGGGACTTTGGGCCCACATGTACATATGCCTGGCCTGGCTTGGGACTTGAACCATGAAGTAGGCCATGTGAGAGCCAGCACCTTAACCTCCACACCGCCTACAGACCTGCTGTTTAAATTTTTTATATACAGGACCATATTCCACACTTTTAAATAGTTTCATTTTCATGCTCATTGTTGTAGGTGCTAAATTGTGATTTTTCACATTTATAATTATTTAATGTGTGCAAACAGAATATTGAGGGTAGATGATCAGGTTTATTCACAAATAATTTTGAATGTTATTTCTGTAAATAATTTCTCACTAACTTCAAAAAGAACATTTACCCTCACAATGCCATGTAACAGCTGGCACATATAGAATAGAAAAAGAATTTATGTATTCTTAAATATTCATGGATGAGAAGGGAGTGAAAGGAGACAAATATTAGTACCAGTATAACAAAAAGCAGTAATCCAGAGAGGAAGTACATAAAGTAATATCTTCATTCCACTTTTTTGTCTGCCTTTGTTTTTATGAAGAATTCTGGTTTAGGGACCAGCACAGGTGGCATGGTGGTTAAGGCGCTGGCCACATGGCTGACCATAGTTCGAGGCCTCGACCTGGTGGCTTGCTCTCTCACCTTCTCTCTCTCTCTCTCTCTCTCTCTGTATCTATCTAGTCAAAAATGAATGAATAAGTAAAGTTAAATAAATCATTTTAAAAAAAAAAAGAATTCTGGTTTATAGAGACATTGATAGGCCAAGAGCTGAGGAAGAACTCTGTATGTTATGTTTAAGGCTGAAAAAAAGGACTTTTGCTTCTTCAAGGACTATGTACACATAAGAAGTTCTAGGGTGAAGAGAAGCACCAGTGTGAGAAAACTGAGCCTGAGGTTGTCCTCAGGCATCCAGGAACTTTCAGGAACGACTAAGCCATAAAGGACAATGACAAAGTAAGGGACAGAATACAACATAGATGGCAACACATGCATTTCGGAATAAGCCGCAGGATCCTTTAGGTAGGGCTCTTGAAATTGCATGTATAATTTGCAGAGCTCAGCTGGACAATCCAAAACAATCACCCTTCTGAACAGACAAAATCCCATTGCCAGGAGGCCACACACAGCCAACATTAAATCAAATGGCTTTCACAGCAGGTCCTTTGCTGAGGCTTCTTGAACAACCTTTGAGGGATAATTCTAAATGTCTGATGACTGTTCATAGATTCTGAAGCCAGCCCAGACAGGAAGACAAGTATATGATATGCTTAAGAAAAAGGCAGAGCAAATTCATGTTCTATACTTCCCTACAATGTTTCCTGGTACAAAAACAACACTCATTATAATCGATCCAACCCAATACAGGCCTTCTCTTCATGCTGTTCTGTAAGTCTTTGCCCACGCTATGGCCGCCATTCACAAGGTTCAACATTGTAACTATATATAATGAGCAGACAGTAGCAGATCATGTGCCCGTATGCATTGTTCATACACGGCTCGCCCTCTCTCAGGTAGTGTGTCATGAACCTGTCAGTGATTCCATCTTGTTCCAACCCTATGATGAGGTTCACCAGGCTGGTAAATCCAAACACTGCATACACATAGAACAGTGGGTCCTGGAGAGGTTTTCTTTTGACAAGGACACAAACAACAGGGCTACCAGCAGCAGGATAAGGGCAGCAACCCCTACAGTTGTCCAGGAATCGTGCTGGACCGCCAGGGGGTTGAAGATGTAGTGACTGGGATGGCTAAGAGGGACAGCGTGGAGAGCCCTGTGGCTGCAGAGGTACTCATCACCACCGGCATGCGATTCGCCCTTCACTACATCCCACCCGGGCACCCTGCCCAGCTTCAACAGCACCCGTGCTCCTTGGCGTTTGCCCTTCCAGGCACCTAGCACCACTGCTGCCCCACATACCCTGCAGCGCCGTCTGGTTGCGTAGGCCACGGTGCTGTCACTGGCAGAGTCCTCACGGTGTTCCTGCCAAGAGCCACGAGGGCTCAATGGGCAGCTTGGATAGGGCTGAGGGTTGGCAACACCACTAGCCCAAGGACAGTTGCTCATTCTTGACTATCTACACTGACCTCAAAAATAAGTGACTATAATCTTTTGTGTAGTCAAGTATGCAAACAAGTTGATGAGTGTATATAATGTGTGTATGGGTACCTATATGTGTATCCACAATGTCCACTGGCACCCATTGCATGCACAGCCTGTACTGGTATTTTTTTTCATGTAAAAAATAATGAATTGTTTTCTCTAGGCTCATATTTTACTTGATTGTGGTGAAGACAATGTCTGTAAACCAAAACTGGAAGTTTCTGTAGATAGGTAAGTTTTGCTCTAAACAATTAACAGTATAATAAGAAATTTAAATGAAAGAGCACATAGTGAATATTAATTATATTGGAGTTTAATGCATTTTTTTCTATAACAATAAAACAACTAACATTGAGCCCCCCCCCCCGAAAAAAAAAGAATCTGCTCTTTTTTTTCTAGTTACTTCCATGAACAGATTTATTATCATTCAGCTTTGGGTAGTATTACAAAATAATATACTTTCTTAAAGATGAACTTCACTGTAGACATATTTTTTTTTCAGAGAGGTTTTCGCTATAGGGCGCGTGCGCTCACCAGACAGACAGAGAGAGACATAGAGATAGAAAGCGAGAAATCACCCCCCAGAGGGGATGGTCATGCTGCAATCCTTTCTCCTCCATTCTCCTCTCGGGATCTTGGGCACGCACGCACACGCACCCGGCGTGAGATTTAAGCCACTGGGTCCGGGACACGAACCGTGGTCGACTACATGGGAGTCCAGCAACATAGCCATTACGCTAACTGCTGGTTCCCTGTAGACATATTTTTAACTCAAGGGATATCCTCACAATTTTATAGGGTATATAGAAAATACTGTGAGAATTACGAAATGATTAATTCCATTTTTAGAAAAAAATAGGGATTTAAAAAGTACATATAGAGCTATAAAATTGCATTAGAAATAGATATGAACAATAGTGAAATATTAGTGGCCTTGATTTTTTTTTTTAATGGGGGAAGTATTGGATTTCCACCCAGTTGTTTTCTATTGAGCTTTGAAATAGTTTTTAACATGCCTTGAATAGTGTTGACCATATCGTGGCTGTGTGTGTATTTATTATTGGTCTTTGAATACTCTCTCCATGTAGTCTTTTCTCACTGTCTGGATATGCATTAACTTGTAGCGATCAAAAGAAGATCTATATTGGCGATGACAACCCTCTGACGTTGACTGTTAAGGCTCAGAATCAAGGAGAAGGTGCCTATGAAGCTGAGCTCATCGTTTCCATTCCACCACAGGCTGATTTCATCGGGGTTGTTCGAAACAGTGAAGTAAGCAAGATGCCTCTTTAAAAATCGAAATGCACTCACAGGTCTTATTAACATTAATGAGCTACTCCCCCGTTTAGTAAAACATGAGCTTAGCCATTTTACTTAATGCTAAATTGCTAGATCGTAGAGTGCCTACCTTACATGATTCCTTTCAAGTGTAATAGCTTGCATAAAGCATTGATATGTAACATTTTTAGAATTGCTTGCTGAGTGCCTGGAAAGGAGAGTAGATAGATAGTGTCTAAACCTGTTCATTAGATTATTTGTCAGATACAATGTGGTTATATATCAAGTCCTCTAGGAATCTTTCAGAGACACTCTTACATTTGTATGGAGCAATTATCTGTAAGTCTGGTTTCTTTCTTACTCACTGTTTGCTCAAATAGATTTATTTGTTTTTTAAAAAAGAAATTTAAATATCCAAATTCTTCAAATGCTTTATACTATTTAAGAATGCTTTATACTATTTAGTCTTATGGTGTCTGCTTTTCTTTTTTCTTTTTTCTTTTTTTTTGTCACTAATTTATTTTCCTTTCACATCCTTTTCCTTTGTTTATCAAAGGCCTTAGCAAGACTTTCCTGTGCATTTAAGACAGAAAATCAAACCCGCCAGGTGGTATGTGATCTTGGAAACCCAATGAAGGCTGGAACTCAGGTAAGACATTTGAATTAAATAGATTTTTTTCCCCATAAATAGAATAGCATATTTTTCTCTGAGTTTGTTCATATTAATTTTTTCTTTATTATTTGGAGAGGTTTTCACCTTTATTTTGGTGCCCCCCCCATATTAACTTTTTAAAATAAACAGTTCAAGGGCCAACAGATGGTATAGCAGTTATATCCCTGGACTTCCACATGGCCAACTACAGTTTGAATCCTGGACATGGTGGATTGAAACTCATGCCAGGTGCATGTGCGTGCATACCCAAGATCCTGGGGCGGGGGGCAGGAAAATGGAGGAGAAGGGATTGCCGTGGGCCATCCCCCTAGGCCGTGATTTCTCACCTCTCCTCTTACTGTCTCTGTCGCTATCTCTCTGCAGTGAGCACATATATCCCGTGACAACCTCTTGAGGAGGGTGGGCATTTCAAAATAGTCTTTAAGTTGGTTTTGATTTAGAGTTTAATGGTTAGTTTAGTTGAAGCACAACATAATATAACATATTAGTTTAGTTTTAACACAACATAATGTAACATATTTGAGATTCTGAAATAACAGGTATACTGTTGCATGGCATCTGATAAGCTGCTCTTTATACTGCTTTCAGTTTAGTAAATGGAGGAGAACATGGTTTAAACTAAGGACTGTAATTAGAATATAGGCATTTTAAGCTGATGCTATAGTGGTTCCTCTAAAACCACTCTAGTACCTACCAGGACTGTCGTTCCTAAGTGAGATGGAGTTGTCTCATCAGCTTGAACTCTCATGTAGTAGGTCCACACAGAAGATCAAGGAGAAGCTTAGTTGAATCATCTCCCTTTCAGAGGGTGAAGCAGGGAGTCCACGAGCTTGAAAAGAAGGACCTAATGGGCCTCTTTCCAAATCTGAAAAGTAAATAAAATGTATTTTGTAGAAGTCCTAATATCAAGAAAAAAAGGGACAGTGTATGTCATAATTACCTTTTCAATAGATTTATTTAATTTATTGGTGCGTTGATACTGGTAACTTGAGGGTCTGTGTTAATATGGGGCTAAATATTCCATTTTTCCATTAAAATCATTATTATGTCTAGATATATAGTATCTTGGAAAAAAGGACTGAAACAAAGTACTCCAAGTTCCATTTTTTTCCACAAGTATTCAGCATTTCCTTAATGAATGAGTTTGCTTTTTGTTGTCCCATAATCCCATTTGCTTTTGCTTTTCCTCTCCTGGTATTCAGTGTAGATAGCTCTGGGCTTTGTAGAGGGGAGGCAGTGCTTAAGGAATACCATTTTTACCTGTCATTTATACAATCCCCAGGAAGCCTCCTGCCTTGTACCCATGGCTCAGTTGTTTGCTTTAGAATCTGTCCATTACACACCTGCAGGAGTTGGGATGTTTCATGTTGGGGGACTTGTGAGAGGTGTGAGAGGAACAGTTCTGGTTATGGCCCCCTCAGGCCTTTGTTAGCCTGGTTCCCTTAATCTCATGAACTATTCGTTCCTTAATAGAGTTCACTGGATAGCTTTCTATTACCAGTCATTGTGCCTCATTACTATATTTTTGGTGGATGAACAAAGCCTTTATTTCAGCGTTTTTTAGAATGACAGTTAATATTATAAGGAAGTATAATTATGATTAACATTATTAAATTGACTTCATATGGAAGGGCCTAAACATCCTAAATAAAAGATTTGATAGAAAATCACATTGGAAACCAGCAGTTAGCATAATGGCTATGTCGCTGGACTCCCACATAGTCGACCGTGGTTCGCGTCCCGGACCCGGTGGCTTAAAACTCATGCTGGGTGCGTGTGCGTGCATGCCCAAGATCCCAAGAGGAGAATGGAGGAGAAGGGATTGCGGCATGACCATCCCCCCTGGGGGGTGATTTCTTGCTTCCTGTCTCTCTGTCTGTCTCTGTCTGTCTGGTGAGTGCACGTGCCCTATAGTGAAAATCTCTCC